CACATTTGGTCACAGGAGTCTCCTCTGTGTTCATGGTTGTTGTGAGAGCAGAGGGGAAAACTCCACTTAAGAGAGAGTCTCCCAGCCGGTACGGTGGCTCCCGCCTATCAACCCAGCTCTTAGGGAGGTCGAGGTGAGAGGATTGCCTGAGCTTACGAGTTCGAGACCAGCCCGGGCAACTTGACGGGACCTCATCTCTACAATAAATCAAAAAAGTAGTTGGGCGTGGTGGCGCACGCTGTAGTTCCAGCTGTTTGGAAGGCTGAGGCGGAAGGATCACCTGAACCCAGCAGGTCGAGGCTGCTGTGGCTGTGAGTGTGCCACTGCACTCCAGCCTGGGCGACAGGGTGAGAATCCAACATAAAACAAAAACAAAAACAAAAACAACCAACAAACAAAGAGAGAGTTTCCCAAAGCAGGAAACCTCCCAAAATAAAGGCTGCCTGGTCACTGCTGAGCAAAGCCTGAGAGTACCCCAGCCCTGCAGCATACCATGCTCCTGTTTATCTTTGCAGTGCCTGCTGTTTGCTTAGAAATGATGACCCTTCAGTTTGAAAGGGACCGGCAAAAGGAGCCTACAAAAAACATGCACAAACAGAGGGAGCAGGAATGAGTAAACAACAGAGGTTACCTGAGAGACAGAGACTGCTGCAAAGACCAAGCAAGAGTCTGAGAAGAAACAACCTTTTGAGTCAGGTGTGGGGGCTCACGTCTGTAATTCTAGCACTTTGGAAGGCCGAGGCAGTAAGATTGCCTGAGTCCAGGGGTTTGAGACCAGCCTGGGCAACTTGGCGGAACCTCATCTCTTACAATATAAAAATTAACTGAGGCCAGGCTTGGTGGCTCAGCCTGTAATCCCAGCACTTTGGGAGGCCAAGGTGAGTAGATTGCCTGAGCCCGCGGGTTCGAGACCCGCCTGGGTAACTTAGCAAGACCTCATCTCTACAATAAATCAAAAATGAGCCGAGCGCGGTAGCACGCGCCTGTAGTTCCAGGTACTTGGAAGGCTGAGGTGGAAGGGCAGTCTGGGTGACAGAGTGAGACTCCAACTCAAAAAAACCAAAAAAACAAAAAACATTATCTGAGTGTGGTGGCTCATGCCTGTGGTTCCAGCTCCTTGGAAGGCTGAGGCAGAAGGATAGCCTGAGCCCAGCAAGCAGGTCGAGGTTGCGGTGAGCATGCCACTGCACTCCAGGCTGGGTGACAGAGTGAGACTCCTACTTAAAAATAAAATAAAACAAAATAAGGACTATTTAGTAAAGTCTGTTTGTGCAAACTCACCAAGGTCAACTGTCCCTTTCAGGTGCTAAGAGTTGCCTTTCTCTTCCTGGGTTTTGAAAGCTGGGGTCATCTTCCCAAAAGAAAATGTTTGCCCTGTTAGCTGGGTGTGGTAAGCACACGCCTGTAGTTCTGGTTACTTGGAAGGCTGAGGTGGAAGGATCGCCAGAGCCCAGCAGGTTGAAGCTGCAGTGGCTGGGAGAGGCCGCTGCACTCCAATCTGGGTGACAGAGTGAGACTCTAACTCAAAAAAATAAAATGTATGCCCTGCTTTTATTTTTTTTAATTTTTTAATTTTAAGTTTGGTTTGGTTTGGCTTGGCTTGGCTTGGAGTTGGAGTTGGAGTTGGAGTCTTACTCTGTCACCCAGACTGGAGTGCAGTGGCCGCTCCCGGCCAGCTGGGGTCTGGCGATCCTTCCTCCTCAGCCTTCCTAGTAGCCGGAATTACAGGCATGTGCTACCCCGCCCGGCTGATTTTTTGATTTATTGTAGAGATGAGGTCTCGCTGCCCAGGTGGGTCTTGAACCCGCGGGCTCAGGCAATCCACTCACCTCAGCCTCCCAAAGGCGCGGGATTACAGGCTGAGCCACCAAGCCTGGCATATGCCCTGCTTTTAAACAGCATAAGTGACAGGCAGAGAATTCTTCCTGTATCTGCTGATTCTCAATTACTTTCAGTTCAAAATCATCCTTATGCCAAAGTGGCATATTTTGGAGTTGGCATGTAGTGATCCCCTGCAGGATATTTGTAAAAATGATTTGGGGCCGGGCTTGGTGGCTCAGCCTGTAATCCCAGCACTTTGGGAGGCGGAGGTGAGTGGATTGCCTGAGCCCGCGGGTCTGAGACCCCCCTGGGCAACTTGGTGAGACCTCATCTATACAATAAATCAAAAAAAATTTAGCCGGGTGTGGTAGCGCGCGCCTGTAGTTCCAGCTACTCGGAAGGCTGAGGTGGAAGGATCACCGGAGCCCAGCAGGTAGAGGCTGCGGTGGCCGGGAGCGGCCACTGCACTCCAGTCTGAGCGACAGTGAGACTCCAACTCAGAAAAAAAAATGATTTGGGCCATTGCCTTGCTAAACTACGGTCTGACTTTGTGCTCTTTGAGCTATGGCCAGACCATGTTTTCTTAAGCTTTGACCTCCTCCCCTACCTTGGGGAGGTGAATTACCTCTTTCTCTCTCTCTCCAATTTACTTTCCAAATAAACCATATTCTCTAATCTCAAAAAAAAAAAAAAGAAAAATGATTTGACTTCACGTCCCAAGTATAGTGAGAGAGACAGTATTCCCTGGTATAACGGAGATTTCCAGCTGAACTAAAAACAAAACAAAACAAAACAAAAACTCAAGACTGGGCATGGTGGCTCACGATTTTTGGGAGGTCAAAGTGGGAGGATTGCTTGAAGCCAGGAGTTTGAACCCACTCCACTCTCAATTTTTCTCTTCTCTCGGACCCAGAACACTATGCAATGTTTCTTTCTCTGAGGCATTATTTCTATGAATTTCTTTTCTTTTTTTGAGTCAGAGTCTCACTCCAGCCCAGACTGGAGTGCAGTGGCATGCTCACGGCCACCGCAGCCTAGGCCTGCTGGGCTTAAGTGATCCTTCCAATTCAGCCTTCCAAGTAGCTGAAACCACAGGCCTGCTTTGGTGCACAGACCTGCACCACCACACCTGCTGGTTTTTTTTTTTTTTTTGTAGAGACAATATCTCTCCAAATTGCCCAGGCTGGTCTCGAACCCAGGGAGTCGGGTAATCCTGTCGCCTCTGCCTCCCAAAATGCTGGGATTACAGGCATGTGGCACTGTGCCCAGCATTAATTTATTTTCAAATTTTACTTTTTTTTTTGTAAACATGGGGTCTTGCTATGTTGCCCAGGGTGGTCTGGAAATCTCCGCCTTAGTAATCATCCCACCTTGGTCTCCCAAAGTGTTGGGATTACAGGCAAGAACCACCACACCTGGCCCTTCTTTCTCTTCTATTCAATTTTTAAAAGAGAAATATACAACTCAGGTCTATAATCTCAGCACTTTGGGTGGCATAGGTGAGAGAATTGCCTGAGCCCAAGGATTCAAGACTAGCCCGGGGAACTTGATGAGACCTTGTCTTGTCTCTACAACTAAAGGAAAAAAAAAAAACCAGGTACAGTGGTTTATACCTATAATCCCAGCACTTTGGAAGGCAGAGGCGAGAAGATTGCCTGAGCTCAGGGATTCAAGATCAGCCTGGGCAACATGGTGAAACCACATTGCTATAATTAAAAAAAAAAAAAAAATTAACTGGGCGTGGTGGTGCATGTCTGTGGTTCCAGCTATTTGGAAGGCTGATGCAGAAAGATCACCTGACTCCAGTAGATGGAGGCTTCACTGGCCATGAGCATACCACTGCATTCCAGCCTGGGCGACAGAGTGAGACTCCCACTAAAAAAAAAAAAAAAAAGAGAGAGAGAGAGAGAGAGAGAGAGAAACAAAACATATTGCAAAAAGAACTCTCAGTTGCTTTGAAAAAGATAAATGGGAAATAAGAGGTGCATTTCTGGGAATGGAGACTATAATCTTTGCTGTGGTCAAAGGAAGAACAGATAAGATCCAAGTTGGAAGCCGGGCATGGTGGCTCATCCCTGTAATCCCAGCACTCTTGGAGATGGAAGCGGGAGGATTGCCTGAGCCTAGGGGTTTGAGACCAGCCTGGGCAGCAGGGCGAGAGCCTCATCTCTACAATAAATCAAAAATTAGCTGGGCATGGTAGTGCATGCCTGTAATTCCGGCTACTCGGAAGGCTGAGGCGGAAGGATCGCTGGAGCCCAGCAGGTCTAGGCTGCGGTGGCCGGTAGCGGCCACTGCACTCCAGTGTGGGTGACAGAGTGAGACTCCAACTCAAAAAAAAAAAAGAAAAGAAAGAAAGAAATACACCCCACACAACCACACCCCCACACGCTCAGCCGCCCACACTTTCTCTTGATCTGAGCTTGAATACAGCCTTGGTTCCACTTCACTATTGATCTAGGGTGGCCCATAATTAACCTGGCAACTATGATGAGACATTTTCTGAAAGCTGAATCCCTCAAAATGTCACAGGTGTCCCTGAAATTGGGTGAATTGCCTGCCAACAATGCTAATGCTGTCAAAAACAAGGCTTTATAGATTTTTTTTGTTTTTGAGTTAAAGTCTCACTCCCAGGCTGGAGTGCAGTGGTATGCTTACGGCCACCGCAGCCTTGACCTGCTGGTCTCAGACGACCCTTCCGTCACAACTTTCCATGTAGCTGGAATCACAAGCACACGCCACCACACCTGGATAATTTTTAAATTTATTGTAGAGGTGAGGTCTTGCCAAGTTGCTCAGACTGGTCTTGAACCCCTGGACTCAGGCAGGCAGTCCTCTCACCTAGACCTCCCAAGGTGCTGGGATTACAGGATTAAACCACCCATCCAGCCTATTCCATTATCTATGTATCTATTTGACTGTCTATCATCTCTCTCTCTCTCTCTCTTCTCTGTCTGTCTCTGTCTCTCTCTCATCTGTCTGACATCTAATATTGATTGTTCATGTTATATATGAGGATTATTGTAGATTAGCTATTTATTTTTCCTTTTTTCGTGTGTAAGGTAACTTTGTAGCATCAGAAGAATAGCACGAGTTTGAAATAAAGTTCATTCTTCAAAATGCTCCCTTTCCACCCTGACAATGACCAACCATTTTTTTCCCTCTTTTTTCCCCCTTAGGCAGGGAAAGTTATTCCCATCGGTTACAGAGTTGCAACCTGCTTGACTGAAAAACTTCCCAGGGTGAGCACTTGTTGTTGGTTTCTGTTTTCTAACCTCCCATGTAAACATTAATAGGTAGACAGCTCTGAGCAGTCCTCATGAAACATGTATACATTGAATGCGGTCAGTTTGGATTCTTGACTGTGCTTCAAGGCCTTCTGTTGATTTTGCCCAAGAAAGTGAAAATTCCAGGCTTCATAATTTCCAGCTCTACAGAAACAACAAGGGATTCCTATTTCCATAGGAATAACTGTAGGCTTTCCAACCTGAACACAGCTGGTTTTCTAAACATAGCGTTAAAGCCATGTTGGTGACTTCCACGAAGAGACACGCACACCTTATGGAGGTTTTCATTATTGGGGCTGTAGCTCTCCATGCACTCATCACACACGTGCACTTTAGGGTGCTCATTGGTGGATACAGATTAGTCCTATTCATATTTTAAAAATTGTACCTAATGGCCGGGCTCGGTGGCTCAGCCTGTCATTCCAGCACTTTGGGAGGTTGAGATGAGAGGATGGCCTGAGCCCAGGGGTTCGAGACCAGCCTGGGCAACTTGGTGAGACCTTGTCTTTACAATAAATTAAAAAATAAGCTGGGCGTGGTGGTGCGTGCCTATAGTTCCAGCTAGTTGGAAGGTTGAGGCAGAAGGATCGCCGGAGCCCAGCAGATAGAGGCTGCGGGGGCTGTGAGCATGCCACTGCACTCTAGCCTGGGCAACAGAGTGAGATTTTGACTCAAAAAAATAAAATAAAATAAAATTGCACCTAATGATTTTATCTTCTCTGTCTCGCTCCTTGTAGCTCATGACTCCACCTGAAGCAAAAAAGTACTTCAACTTCCGATATCCACCTGCTGGGGCAGAGAGAGTCTTTTATGGCCGAGCAAATGACCCCCAAGTTGCACCTTATTTGACACATGGGATCAGATCCAAAGTCTCCATACCGGTAACTTCCTTTCTCTTTTTCCCTGTATGTTATTAATCTACCGAGATAAAAGTGCACAAATGAAGCGTTAGTGGAATTCATCAGTTCCAGTCTCTTCCCCACACTTTTTTTTTTTTATGCGTTGATGTCTCACTCTGTTGACCAGGCTGGAGTGCAGTGTCACAATCACGGCTCACTGCAGCTTCCACATCTTGGCCTTAAGCAATCCTTCTGCCTCAGCCTCCCAAGTAGCTGGGACTACAGATGTGCACCACCACAACTGATTAATTTTTAAAAAATTTTTCTGTAGAGATGAAGTCTCCCTATGTTACCCAGGCTGGTCTCCAACTCCTGGACTCAAGCGATCCTCCCATCTCGGTCTCTCCAAGTGCTGGTATTATAGGCTTCTCCGTGTATTTTTACCAGTCTTTCCTCAACCTGTCCTCCAGGGACATTCATCTCGAGCAGTGAAAAAATTCCAACTGCTGCAGGAGCCAAAAGAGTGTGAAGAAATGGATGGATTAAGCCACAAACTGCTGCTTCTCCCTTCAGACGATAAGAGCTGAGTTGCATTCCATTTTCTCACAGAAGAGAGAAATGTGATCAGACATGTTAGAGAGTAAAGAGGACAGGCTTGAGGACTTCTCTTGAGGCCCTGCAGGGAACTTGATGGACATTGAGGGGAGACAGAGTTGGAATGTTACGGGGGGGCCCTCCAAAACCCAGAATTTACTTATAAAAAACTGTGTACTTATTCTTACATGTGTAAACTTTAGCCCCCCCCCAAGTCCTCTCTGTCTGATACAATATGCCTATCTAGATGCTTTTTCCACTGCTCAAAGCAGTTTTTGACCCCGTCCATTTTGATGCTTTTTAGTGCTTCTGCTTCTTTTTTTGTTTGACCTCTTCTACATGGGCAAAACATTTCCCTTTAAGGACTTTTTCACCGGAGAAAACAAACAAACAAAAAAAGTCACTGGGGCAAGGTCAGGTGAATGGGAGGGTGGGGCACAGGGATCATGCTATTATTGGTCAAAAACTGCTGAACACTCAGCGGGGTGTGGACAGGTGTGCTCATACATCACCCATCAAGAAATGGGCAAGCCGGCTCAGTGGCTCAGCCTGTAATCCTGCGCTCTGGAAGACTGAGGTGAGTGGATTGCCTAAACCCGCGGGTTCGAGACCTCATCTCTACAATAAATCAAAAAATTAGCCGGGCCTGTTAGCGTGAGCCTGTAGTTCCAGCTACTTGGAAGGCTGAGGTGGAAGGATCGCCGGAGCCCAGCAGGTTGAGGCTGCAGTGGCCGGGAGTGGCCACTGCACTCCAGTCTGGGCAACAGAGTGAGACTCCAACTCAAAAACAAAAGAAAAAAAAGAAAAAGAAATGGGCAAATGCATTGAAAGAACCTCACCCCCCAAAATTCACTGAAACTGAACTCAGACACTCACATCAACACTCTCTGGTCCATGGATGCCAATGGGTTCCTAGAACACTTACCTGGACTACAAGAGGCCCGCCCTCTTAAAGACAATTCCAGTTTTTGGGGGCCCCCTATGGATAGAATGGAGAATCTGGAGCCTGAAGACCTGAGCTCCCTCTGGAGGGAACTTTTGGAAGTCTGTGTTTCCCACTTCCACGTTTCTTGAGTGTTTGAGGCCAGGAGCCTAGAGTTTCCGTCATTAACCTTATATTTCCATTTAGCTCCTTTGAAAGTTCTGGTTTCCGACAGTTCGTTTGAAGGTGAACGAAGCCAGTGATGATAATGAAATGTTTTTCCACAATCACATATTCTCTTCTCCCAGCTGTTGATTAGGGTTCCAGTTTTCAGATTTGTACTTTTTTTAGCCAGGTGCGGTAGCTCATGCCTGTAATCTCAGCACTTTGGGAGGCTAAGATGGGAGGACTGCTTGAGTCCAGGAGTTTGAGATCAGGCTGGGCAATATAGGGAGACTCATCACGTTGGAGTGTGGTGGCTCATGCCTGGAATTCCAGCACTTTGGGAGTTGGATGCAAGAGGACTGCCTAATCCCAGGGGTTGGAGACCAGCCTGGGTAACCTTGGTCTCTATAATAAATTTTAAAAAATTAGTTGAGTGTGGTGGCAAGCACCTGTGGTTCCAGCTAGTTGGAAGGCTGAGGTGGAAGGATCACCTGAGCCCAGCAGGTCAAGGCTGCAGTAACCTTGAGCATGCCACTGCACTCCAGCCTCAGTGACAGAGGGAGACTCCAATTAAAAAAACCCCCAAAATTCAAAAGGATTAGCTAAGTGTGGTGGCACATGCCTGTAGTCGCACCTACTTGGGAGGCTGAAGGCGGGGGGGATCTCTTGAGCCCAGGATGCTCAGGCTGTGGTGAGTCATGGTGGTGCCATGGCTCTCCAGCCTGAGCAATAGAGGGAGACCTCTATTCAAAAAACAAACAAACAAACAAAACACAAACAAAAAACCCCCAAAACAGGCCTGGCTCGGTGGCTCAGCCTTTAATCCCAGTGCTTTGGGAAGCTGAGGCGAGTGGATTGCCTGAGCCCACGGGTTCGAGACCTGCCTGGGCAACTTGGCGAGACTTCATCTCTACAATAAATCAAAAAAATTAGGTGGGAGTGGTAGTGCATGCCTGTAGCGCTACTTGTAAGGCTGAGGTGGAAGGATCGTCGGAGGATCGCAGGTCGAGGCTGCAGTGACCACTCCAGTCTCACTCCAGAGTGAGACTTCGACTCAAAAAAAACCTAAAACAAAAACAGATTTGCACTTTGTGTTGATACATTTGTGATCACTGTGTGCTTTCTTTAGGCAGGCACGTTGATAAACCCACAGCCCATTACCACATTTCAACAGAAAGTGAAAGATCAAAAAGAATCTATATATCTCAGCAATCAACGAGCACCATTAGGAAGATCTCATGATCAAACCCCAGGATTACCTGAAGGAATGGATATAATCAATACGACATTTGGGACTGCAGTCATCAAAGGTAGCACAAAAAAAAAGAAAAAAAGAGGCTGGGAAGGGTGTGGCAAAATAAGTCTTGGACAGTTGGATTAAATCTCCACTGGTGTGGTGTCTGGTGATGGTGCAGATATGATTCAAGAATAAGAGACAGCCTGGGCACAGTGGCTCGCGCCTATAATCCTACCAGTTTGGGAGGCCGAGGTAAGATTGCCTGAACCTATGGGTTCAAGACCCCCCTGGGCAACTTGGCGAGACCTTGTCTCGACAATAAATCAAGAAAAATTAGCCAGGCATGTTGGTGCATGCCTGTGGTTCCAGCTACTTGGAAGGCTGCAGTAGAAGGATCATCTGAGCCCAGCAGGTCGAGGCTGTGGTGGCCATGTGCATGCCACTGCATTCCAGCCTGGGTGATAGAGTGAGACTCCAACTCAAAAAAAAAAAAAAAAAAAAAAGAGGCCAGGCATGGTGGTTCACACTTGTAATCCCAGCACTTTGGGAAGCTGAGGCAGGAGAATCACAAGAGACAAGGAGTTCGAGACCAGACTGGGCAACACAACGAGACTGTGTCTCAAATAAATAAATAAATAAGATGGGAGTGGTTGGCACAGTCTGTAGTTCCACCAACTCAGGAGGCTGAGGCAGAAGGATCACCTGAGCCCAGGAGGTGGAGGCTGTGGTGAGCTGTGATCATGCTCTTGCCGTCTGGGCAATGGACTGATATTCCAATGCAAAAAAAAAAAGAACAGAAAAAAGAAATGAGAATGAAAGATGCGATCATCCCTAGAAAGCTATTCCCGGAACTCGAGTCCTTGGAGTCAGTGTGTGCCAGGGCCAGAGGGACTCAGCTCCCGCGGTGGAGACAGGAGCCTGGGAGGCCGGCATAGACGCGGCAGGAGTGTGGGCATCGGGTGCTGTGCGGGCTGCGTCCTCACCCTGGACGCCCACTCACAGTCCCTGGAAGGCACCTCCTGCCCCTTCACGAGCCGGAGTTGGCTGGCCCCAGACGTGTGGCCCTGGCTCCCCACTGCACTTGAGGTGCCCAGAGTATGCCCGCATGTCAGCCAGACCCAGGGCACGCGTGGTGGACTTACACCTTGGCTTTGAGAAGAAGCAAAGTCCATCTTGCCTTCTTTCTTTTCTTCCTTCTCTCCCTCCCTCTTCCCCTCTTTTTCTCTCTCCTTTCTTTTCCTTCCTTCCTTCCTCAAGGAACAGTCTCTCTTTCTCCCTTCTTTCCTTCTTCAAAGAACTGAGTCTTTCTTTTTCTCTTTCTTTCTTTCCCTTTCTTTCTCTCTTTCTCCCTCCCTCTTCCCCTCTTTTTCTCTCTCCTTTCCCTTCACTTCCTTCCTTCCTTCTTCAAGGAACACAGTTTCTTTCTCTTTCTCTTTTCCATCAAGGGGCCGAGTCTTTCTTTCTTTTTCTTTCTTTCTTACTTTCTCTCTCTTCCTCCCTTCCTCAAATAACAGAACCTTCCTTCCTTCCTTTCTCTCTCTCTCTCTCTCTCTCTCCTCCCTCCCTCCCTTCGACTCAGATCTCACTCTATCACCCAGGCTGGAGTGGACCAATCATGGCCACCTGCTGGGCCCGGGCCATCCTCCCACCTGAGCCTCTGGAGTAGCTGGGTCTGCAGGTACTCCATCATACCCAGGTGATTTTTTTGATCTCTTGTAGAGAGGAGGTCTCACCAAGTTGCCGGGGCTGGTCTCGAATCCGCAGTCTCAGGCAATCCTCTCGCCTCAGCCTCCCAATTCTGGCATTACAGGTGTGAGCCACCACATCCAGCCTAACTATCTTCAACAAATAACAATGAGTATAAGTACTGGTATGGGTGACAGGCTGTCCTTTCTTCTGAAGGCTGAGCTCCCTGCCATGTTGTTGGCTGCTTTCCTTGACACCTTTCTCACCTTTCTTTCCCACATTCCTTTTCAGATCCCTCACACTGTCCCTATAGGGGGTCTTACCACAGGAGATGCCAAACACCACCTTTTGGGGAGCCAGCCCCCCAAAAGAGCTTTAGGGGGTCCCTTGGAAGGTGTGAGGGTGTCGGTGTTTCTATAGGGATAGATACTAAAAGAAAGAAAGAAGGAGGGATAGAAAGAAAGAGAAAGAAAGAAAGAAAGTGGACATCTGTTCAACAGATTGACCAGAAGCCATTTATTGGGGGTCTACAGCTTGTATTTATCCCAATTTTTACACAGGCAGTCTTACAAGTCTTCCACATGAACACAAGCCAGGTGCAGGAGGGGCACCCCCCCACCCACCAGGTGTTTCCTCAGGCATGAGGAAGAACAATCTCAATTAAATCACAAAACTTCTACACAACACAAAGCCAGGCAAATGAGGGGCATCCCTCACCTACCAGGTGTTTCCTGGAGTAAGAGGAAGGGCAATCCCAATTAAATCACAAGACATTTACATGAACATAGAGCCAGGTGGATGAGGGGCGTTTCCCCCACCCACCAGCTGTTTCCCCAAGCATGAGGAATGAGGTACCCAAACTATTACACTGTTCCTCATGCTTGGTTAATATTTCTCAAAAGCAGTACAATTCTTATAATATACTAATAATCAATAACTTTTAAAACCTATGCATATGCAACACCTAATAACCAACCTAAATCTCAATTCCTCTCTATTTAATGCTAAGTCTATCTACACTATAGAAACTCTTAATTATAGCCCAAACCAATTCCTAAGGAATGTGGCC